TTTTGTTAGTACGTATTTGGGGAGGTAAAAGTGTGATTGTGTATATGTTAGGTTAACATGAAATGCCAAGTGATGTATTTCTAAAAAACAAAATCAGGCAGTTGGGGAGTTGACATCATAATAATACCTGCGCACAGGACATATAAAAAAAACCTTTCCCGTCTTTGTCATGTTCATGTACTATTTTCCAATTATGCCAGGCAAAAACATCATAGAGAGGTGTCGTCTATGACATTTTAAAGCAAGAATAGAAAATTCACTTGCATACCAAAACCATAGAATATGAGGAAGAATCCAAAGTTCTTCCACCTAAAACATATACATATATATATATATATATAACAAGTAGGGAGTGGGATTGAAATTCCCAGAAATTTTTGCTATTAGATTATGATTAAGGTAACAATTAGTATGGTAATACGTGCCTATTCTACAAAATGACTCCTTGAATATACAAGGAAGAACAAATTCCAAAGCCAACAATTAATTTCACATGGGCATTAAATGATATTGCCTCTTATATTATTTTACCTTTTATTATTTGTTTAACTTACTTCAGATGGCAACCGAGGGGGTTGCTATTCCTTCTCTCATCCCCTCATTTATATAAGAGAAGGCGAATGGTGACTAGTTATTTTACATTTTTGTAATAAAACAAAAATTAATAACAGAGAATTCTATGGTTCAAAATTATAATTTTTTTGTAATAAAATTACTCAATTATATTGTATAGAACTAATCTAATTAATGTTCCTAAATATGCATGTGTCAGGCTGAAAAGAAAAAAAGATAAAATCTCATTCGCCCATTTTTGGGAAAACTATAGAAGAAAAATATTTCATTAAATGTAACTTGTAAATAAACCCTAAAATCATTCAAAAGAGGGATTATTTTATCCCCCACCTTAAAACAAAAGATCTAATGAGCAGAAACTCCAGACCTTGCTGAATCACCAATTAACAATATAACTGGACGTCAGTGACGAACATTAATCATATATTTTGAGAAAAGAAAGAAACAAATAGTCCCCCACATCTTCCATTATCAAAATAAACAATGCTAGATGTACAAAAAAAATTTATAATGCAAACATAACAATGAAGGCGGATACCATTGCCAGAAAGAACAATGCTTATTTAATTGAATAAACTCGGTCTATACATCAATTTCGGAAAATTAAATCCATTTCACATTACTCTTAAACATGATTTCCATTAAAAGAGTCAGAACCGAAAGAACAAAACTCTTTATAGTTTGATATCCAGAAATTGAAGACTAATATTGAATAATTTAATATCCAGAACTTAACTAGAAAAAGAAACCCAAAATCAGAAACATGGCCAGCCTCTGAAGAGCCAATTTAGAACCTCAACGAGATACGGTAGACAATTATATCATCTTCAACTTGAATATGACAAAAGATTACTTGTAAAGTTTGTGACTTCATGAAATTCACATTACTAGCCGAATTAGAACCTCAAAACAGAGTTTCATCTCTTTGCGCCTCGAGAAGGCAAAATTTTGATTCCCACAAATTACATACAAAAATATCATATCATAATGTACATAAACACCTAATACGAAAAGTAGAGAAAAAACCGGTATTCGAAGTGTGAAGATATCTGACATATGCCAAACCCTAACAAAATCTCATACCAATTGCCACAAGCCACAACGGCCCTGGATAAGAAGAATTAATTGGAACATCACTACCCCTACAAACAACTCTTCCCAGTTGATGAAAAATAAGCAATCGTACATGTATATCTATGAAAACCTT